AAATAGTATCGTTAGGATCTAGTGGTCTAGATGCCACATTTAGTGGCAGCGACTTCATCCTACGCTTAGTTTCTTTAGTGGGTTCTGAAATACGAGCATAAAAGTAAATGATCAATGCAAGTGTAATCTAATGAACTTCTATAAGTTTAGACCGATAGATCTCAATTGTACTCTTGTATTAATAATTGTGTATAGCAGTGTATATAGAGTGTTTGAATGCTACCTTGGACTTTCGAGTGAACCCATTTTCCTATGAAACATTTTATGAGTGAATTAGACTCATATTTTTGCTTTTGTGGCATTTGAGCATGCGCAGCTATGCTCAGCTTCAACAAAGGCCACAATAACAGAAGCAAGACATTAGCACGGCACGCGGCACACAACAATTTAAACCAGGCTTAAAACGCGAACCCATATGCGAAGAGACGGAAAGACACCGGGACATACGTGTATACATATGAATGGACAGCTTGTCGCTTTTGGTGGTGAAGGTGAGATGCGCTTTACTTAACCGAAACATTTCATTAGAAATGTTTTTTCTTTTAATTTTTTATGTTTTATGTTTTATGTTTTAAAGTTGCCGCTTGGATTTTAGTATTGCTATAGTTTTTAGTTTTGTTGCATTCTGCTGCAGTGTTGCTTTAGTTTGTGCAGTATTTGCATATGCAACTTAGTAGTTGCAAATGTATCTTGCAAGTGAGAGTTAACGTATTTCAGTATTTCATTTTTTTCTACTGAAAAATATTTCCTCGGTCAATTTGATCAGTGCGGCTGCAATCAACAGCGGTTTCATTCATTTGTCTGTGGCTAACAAAACGTTTTGCTAATTATTATTGTTGCTGGAAAGATATTTGATTACAGTGCGGACATAAAAGGCATGCTGTTTGGCCATACAATCATAACTGGCCGTTATAAAGATCATAAATTCATTTTCAATAAATGATCGCAAATGAAAGTTTCTCATACATTTTATGCAGCAATTAATTTGCATGAAATTAATTTATTGCAGTTTGGAAAGGTAAGCTAACAAATCCAATTTGAAGAGTTATTAAAAAGATTCGATTGAAAAACGAATTTAATAGTTATTAACAGAAAGTTTTTTCATATGGCAATAATTGTGTTTTATGGAGATTATTGGTTTTTACAGTTATAACAAGAAAAATTGGCGTGAGTCTTTTCGAAACTTATTTAAATACTAGTATTCCTTCATAAAATTAATGACTAACAATTTTGTAGATCAGAATCTAACTACAATCTGTAATCTGAATTTTTATCCAACTTAAAATCAAGATACTTGGCATGGACTATATTAAAGATTTAATTACTTTACAATTAAGACCACGACTATAAACGAGTAAAGGCCAAAGCTGTTCTGAAATTAAGCAGAACAATTATCAAACTCTTCCCAAAACTGCTAACAAGTCACTGTAGACTGCGATTCCATCTGAAAAAGATTGGTTTAGCAGAAATCGATTCCTGTCGACTCTTTTGAGGCCAACAAAAAAGAGCAGAACACGTTTTATGCGCCTGCCCAGCTGTGGCAAGACGAAGACTTAACTATCTAGGTAATGGAGTATTGAGTCCCGAACACCTAGCAAAGATGCGGCCCACAATTGTGACAAAATTCTTCAAAAGTTGGGAATTGGACTAGTTATGCGAAAGGCTGCAGAAAATATCTTTCAGATCGCAGTGCATGTACAGCCCATCAATAAAAATAATAATAATGAAACCACTGCTAATGTGAAATCAAAAGAATAAAATCTTAATACTGCATATTTCATATAGGCCATTGTGTCACAATATTAAACTCGAAAAGTTTAAACCTATCGGCAGTTTAACGCTTCTTATTGTTCGATTATTTTCAGTCTGTTTTCAGTTTATCATTAAACAAGTGACAGATCCTACATTGATGAATAATATCAATGGTTTTTTAAGCATACTATCATTTTGGAATTCATAACATAAGAAATTAATGAATTGTAATTTTGCTAGTAACTTTTGCTAGTAAATTATTAAAAGAAGTAAATTCTCTTTGTTATTCTCTTTGCGAGTGGCATTCCGACGTGTGGGAGCAGATTTTAGAAATTAATTTGCCTGCTTTGTTAAACTCGTTATCCTACACGTACCAAAGATACCGTTGTTGTCATGTACCAACACTAATTATTGAACACTAATAAGCTGAGTCAACTTATTGACAGAAGTCTAACATTGTTGACGATGAAGCGCTTACTAGATATATGATTGCATCTTGCAATCTTTCCGTCGATAACCTTGTTGCTTAGGACTCATATTGCTTTATATTGAATTGCTATTAACTTATGTTGCAGTTGCTAGTAGATAGAAGAGACCCAAACTCTAGTTGGTGGTTAGGCATAAAACAACAATATCTAGCAGAAATAGCGACTGATTTTTAACCAAGTTAATATTCCAGTATAATTAAGAATCAAAAGTACGATCCAGTTACTGACAATCGAGCTTAATTTAAGAAAGGTGTCATTAATCGACGATAAAGAAAGATAAGCTAGAATCAATCAATGATTAATCCCAATATAAAATTCACTGTGTCATTTTGACCTATGACGAGTGAAGCGTTTATCATATTGGAAAATAACTGATCTATAGTCTTTAAGTTCAGAGAATATCGCTGCTTTCAGGATGACTACTACTCGAGCAATTCTCCCACATTTGGGGTAATACAGAAAACTAAAACTATCAATGCAAATATTTGAGAGACAGGGAAGGGAGGAGCGTGTGCCCTTTTGAAAGTCAGTGGATATTACAGCGTCCAAATATATTTTGTCTGTTGCAATAGAGTAAGTTCATTGATCGTCATAGGTTTAAATACAGACGTTATAAATAGAGTTAAGAATTTCGCGAAGTCGATTGGTCGCAGAAGTTACTATGTTCCCATAGAAGTTTCGTCATGATAGATTTCGGCTACCTTATGATGTATTTCAAATCCCGTTAATTCTCTGTACCCAATAGATTTAGATTTCGGAATTAATTCATTGTTCCAGATTTCTACTTTTAGTTTATGCGGAGTTTCATAAACAGCACCAACATTTTTCAGGAGGTTAACATTTATGGAATGTATTCTACTAGTTTTTATGGAGTCGATTATGTGTGTATTGTCGATTTATATTTTAATATAAAAAAAAACTATAATTGTTCTGGATTTCCACCGGGCATAGATAATTTATTTATGAAAAATTACACTTATTAATTTGTGTTAAATATTTTATTTATATTTTAATTTTTTAAAAAGCATCTATATTACAGATATTTCTATATTTATATTGCCGATAGAGATATCTCCTGCGTACTCTGTACTTATACGTCCATATACTTAAAAGTATTCAAGTTATTCGTTACATTGTACTAAAACAATATTCCGGGATATTCGTTTTTGTGACATATTTAAAAAAACACCCATTATGTTTTTAAGCAAAGAAACACTTAAGTGTGAAAATTAATTTTTCATATAGTTTTTATGCTTTAGAAGACATTTATCATTTACTAAAAGGTTATAGAGCGGTCCGATAAAAAGAAATTTTGGGACCAATAAAATATTTTCGAATATGGATTTGTAATTATTAACACGTTTTTAAGCGGAATTTCAAAAACTAAAATAATAGATATTTGAAGCTAATATTTCATTGTTTTAAGCACCTTTTTACGGCCAACAAAAAAGTAGCTAAATGAGAAATAATTAATATTAAGTATAAGTAATTAAAGTAAAACGCGTGAAAACTTATGATAATCTGAAGAATGATAACAGAAAATTTCATACTTAGGTATCTTTACTATACACACAGGTATATGTGAACATAAGTATTACCGATCTCGTACTTAGTTAACGAGCAACCTGCTGTGTCTGACAAACGTGCTGACATTTAACATCCTAACACTTGTCACCGAAACAATGACAGCAGCAACAATAAACAATTGCTAATTGGAGGCTTTTTCTTCCAAGAGACTCGTTTAGTGAAATCACTTTGGGATGAGTTAATTCCGACTGGAAATTGGTACTCGTACGCGCATCTTTCAAACGGAAGGCGTAACCCGACACAGTATGTGGCTACTGATTTTTATTGCATTTTAGACGCCAGCCCAACAATTCATACATCTGACTTCATAGAAACTCGAGTATTTCTATTAAATACCAGTGTGTATGTATGTGTGTGTATCTGTGTATATTATTTGTATTAATAATGCATGAAAAATGGAAACAATAAAATTTAAATGCACTCAAAACATTTTCATAATTACGCTGATTAGAAATGGTTGCACTCAACAGTTGCAATGATGGCAATGATGACAGTGTCGTTGGCGATGGTGGTAAATTGTTGCCAACAGCAGCGGCGGTACCGCTTTCATATGTAATTTAAATGCTGTTAATCTTCTACTAATGAGCCTGACATGAAGAGGTTGTCTGTTTATGCGTTAGATTTATACACATTCGACGAGTTATTATGAATTTCGCTCTAAAGCTGGAAGCCAATTAAAGATATAAATAATTATAATTATAAAAAATTCATTTCGATATAGCAAAAGAACATTGTTAACAACTATTTATTTACATTATGTATATATGTTAATGTAAATAAAACTATCTTGTTAATAGTCACTACAACATTTTGTTGCATTTAAATTATTTTGTAATGCCTGCCACCAGCGGCGTTATGTTTTTTGGGTTCCTGATAGACATGGCTACAGTCAATGTATATACTCGTAACATATATATACTACAGTCACTACATATGTTAAATATTGAAATGGAAACTGACTAATGAAAAAGTTAAT